ATTTGTTAATTCATCAAGTACAAGTACAGTCAAAAGACATCTTAAATGCCAGAAAACGAAATAAACTTGAGTTATACACGTTAATATGATCCAGGTAAAAAGTTTTGTAATGCAGCTAGGTAGATTGATTGTAGTTTTCAGAATTTGAACTATCACCTGTTTCAAAAATGGAAATAATGGTTAATTATTTCCTGTTATCCTGTTATTTGATATTATCTGTATCTACTAGCTGGGAATGGAATTTGTGTTAAGGGCCTTATTGCACATAAAATAAAGGTGAAGTTTGTAAAAAGTTGGCTAATTTCCAGCAATCGTATGCCAAGTCATCCGTACCGGCCTAGACATTATTGCTGTCTTCGATGCCTCTTGGAAAGTCATTGAATCTGGTAGTAGAAATTAAGTGTCAAACACGTTCTTTTAATAAATTATTTTGAAGAATAAATTTGGTGACTGTAATATTTCATATGCAATAAGATTCGGTGACGATCTGTTGAAGACTATGTAATAACGATTAAATTTGGATTTAAATTTTAGAATATTTTTATTCTGAAACATATTAAGCTACTTATTCTGTAGTAATGGATTCCTCCTCAGGAATAGGACAAACAATTTTTTAACCGGAGACATTAAAGATATTAATATTTCACAGCGTGTATACGTGTCAAATCGTTTAATTATTAACAGTATTTTGTCCTCTTTCCATCCACTAGAATTTTAGTTACTTTTAAATTGGTGTAGATTTTTCGTATAACTTCCTCTCAATGAAGACAATAGAAGAACAACGTAAAGTAACCAATTCAAACTATAACAGCAAAATATTATTGTACTCATTGTTGTTTTACATATTCTATCGTTACTGTATATATTTTATTATTGCATGCAATAAAAACTCCCCCGTACGATCTTGTTTTTGTTATAAAATCTTTTTAATATGGAATTAAATTTTATTATAAAGATATGAAAGTTATAATTTATCTCTAGTTTTATAAATTTTGCCACTTAAAACTATACGTAACGGTTCCTAGCCTTTTCTACAACTTCCCATACCCCTCAAGCACCATCCCAAGTCGCTATCACAGTCGCTATTTCTTCATAGGAATTTTCGATTTTCTGAAAAGAAATTTATGAACAATTGGTTAAAATTTTAATATAATGTAAATTTAAATTTTCACTAACCAATACATGGAATTTATAGTAAGAGAATGTATGAGATCGTTAAAAAAATTCGAACCCGAGTTTTCAACAGAAAAATTGTACATGTTTTAAGAGCCCCTTTCATTATATATACAAAGCATTTGGTATTTATGACAGTCCTGTGAAACGTTAATCTTTCTGGATCGTTTTACTAGATATTGCGAATCAGATATATTGGTATGCAGTCAGTTAGCAATTCAACACAGTTGAGAAGCATTGAGATTTTATTTATAAAAAATAATGAGTAAGGATAATAATAAGGTCCCCTGAGTTCAAATAACCTATGCTCGCAAACTGAATGGTAAGTATGCGAACAGTATAATTGAAAGACTACGTATTTCAGATAGCAATATGCCTAGTATGCTATAGCAACATTTTGATTAATATTGAATTACGGGAACTATCACTTTATATAATCGATTTCACACATTTTTGCTAATTTCTTGAAAACAGATCACACGATTTTGACTAAACGCGGTATATTGACGTCAAATTAAATGATTCTTATTATCAATTCGTTTTTCCTCATTAAAATAGTGTAATGGGACTTAAATGTCGATAGATAAAATATTTAATAATTAAAAAATAATGTCGTTTTATTGCAAAATGTAATCAAGTAACACTTCGTAAAATAAAATCATTATTTAATTATTTTGATGAATTTTCCCGCAGTGAAATCCGACATTTTCCCCATAGTGAAACTATTTTTGATAAATAAAATGGATTTTGTCATTTTAATGTAGTTGCTGTGATTTCCTATCGATAAATAATGTCGAAATTCCGACAAACCGTACTTGAAAAATTAGCTTCATCAGAAATGTGTTTTGTGAAATTTAATGAAATAAACTGGCGATAGATTAATGCCTATTTTTTACTCTGCTAGTTATCAATAAACAATTACAGTATGACCTTCTATAAATTGGAATACAAAATTTAATAAATCAATTTTTAATTGAAAAACTCCATTGTAGAGTTAATACCTAGAGAGATACAAAATCCATTATTGTTTCGATGAAAAAATAAAACAAGAATGTAAATTACGTAAAAATCATAAGCTACAGAGCGAAGCAATCAATGGTTCAATTGAAACAGTAATGGTGCTGTCTATGGTCGATAATGTCTACCACTGATGGGGGGGGCTATTGTTCCTTCCTGGCTAAGGTAACAGTCAGAGGTAATATTGCTAATAAAAAAAAAAACTGGTTCCGAAGTTAGATATGAAAATATATTGTGTCCGAAATATTTAAAGAAAGGTTTGAAATAGATAATTAAAAAAAAATCAAAATTGATCTAAATTTTTATTTGGAATTTTTTTTAAGAGTAATTAACAGCCATTTCTATTTTTGATCATAACTGATGAAAATCTTATCCTGATTATTATTTTTGAGCACAATATTATTTTTACAATTAACAATAATCATAATTCTTCAGCAATACTTTTTTTTTTTTTAAACCAGTATTATGGCCGCAAGTGCAGTATAACTTTCATGTCGCTCTGTATTTGTTGCTTTGTAATATGCTCAAAATTCAAAGTTGTGGTGTAACACTTAAACAACAGTGAGTTAATAAGCAGTTTTACACTTTTACGTTAACGTACACGCAGGTGAGGTACTATTTATTAACAATAAATAAGTGATAAATTGGTGCTCATTTGGTTAGATCGAGAGGCCGTTAATTCCCTTACGTGCATTATCATATTCTGATATGTTCACGGCCGGGGACTCTGTTTACTGACTTCCTTCAGTTCGAATCCAAGACATTATATTTACTTTTTTTTTTCTTTTCCAGAGACTGTTTTATTTAAATATTTATTGTAAGAAATGTTTTATTTTATTTCTGATTATAGTTATGTATGTAGTTTATTTTTTTAATACTTTATTTCGTAATCTTCCATCTTTTTAATTGTCATATGTAGGAGTAGATATTTTTTTTTTCTATCTCTTATCATAATATGGAAGATATGAATTTAGATAAGAGTTCGTCAAGTGAAGATTCGGGGGACGAAACGGATTCGCAGTATTTAAAAAAACGAACACTTCAAAAACGTCATCGAAACACTCCTCCTGTGTCGGGAGCTCATTCACCCAATAAGAAAATAAACAAATCAGCTAAACCCAAACAGTTAGCAGAGCAAAATAAATCTAAAAAGTCAACTGAACAAAGTAAATCCACTAAAACTAAACAATCAGCCGAGCAAAATATATCACCACCTCAAACCGGAAGCAAATCAATTACCATAGCATCAGAGCCAACTGCACCAACCACCACTAACACCAATAATCCTGTTTCCGTTAATAAAATATCAAGCAAAATTTCGGAGCCTCAAGAGTTTTCTGAGCCCGAGCCGCCACCTATTTTCATATCTAAAATCGATAACTTCATTACATTTGGTCAAGAAATTGCCGGTCTGGTTGGACAGACCAATTTCCGCTGTTTCTCCAGAGTTAATGATATCAAAATAAACACAAACTCTCGAGAAAATTACAAAAAACTTATAAATTATTTTACGTCCAAAAACTATGATTTTCATTGTTACCAATTAAGACAAGAAAAGCCATACCGAGTGGTGTTGAGAGGACTACTACACTCAAGCACACCAATATCTTTCATCAAAAGTGGCCTAGAACAAATAGGTCACAATGTTAGGCACATATCATGCGTACACGGAATAATATCCTTTACCACTATTTTCCGTCGATTTAGAGCCTGCCAGCAAGTGAAGAGGCTTATATATTCCACCATTAAATTTGAAGAGCCTAGCCAAAAGCCTATAATAGTGCAATGCACTAAGTGCCAAGACTTGGGGCATTCACAGACTTATTGCCATCACCAGGCCAGGTGAGTGAAATGTGCCGGCCCACACGCATCAGACACTTGTCAGAGGCCTCGAGACCTGCCTGCGAAATGTGCCCTTTGTGGTGAAGATCATCCGGCAAACTACAAAGGATGCAATGTTTATAAACATTTTTATAAGCAGAGAACTCAGAACATAGCCTCGAAAAGCGGTATGTAGTATGTGGTTTATTTGCCTATTGGTCATAAATAAAGTAATAAATTAATGAAAACTTAGTATTTGATTGCAAATTTTATTTCGAGGAAACTCTTAAGTACCATTGACCAATCCTATTGAATTGTAATATTGAGACTAACGTATTTTCTGGGCTGGGTAACATATATTGCTGAGGAGAAGGACAAAGCTTTCTGGAAACGTACAAATAAAATTTACAATCAAATATTAAGATTCCATTAATTTATTTATTACCAATAGGCAAATAAACCACTATAAAATGAAGAAAGGTCAAACAAGCATAATGACAAATATATATTATATTAGAAGTTTTGGGTTATAAAAAATATATATGTACATGTATACGTAAATATACTGCAGGTACCATGTGTATAATTAAAATGATTTCAGAAATACAATATTAAAACATTTTTATATTAATAACATATACATACGTATTATTATTTTATTTAATTTTGTGTAAAAGGTGATTTTTATTTCCTGATAACAATTGTTTGATCAAATTTTTTTCATTATTAATTACTATGTAATATCGTATCACTCAGTGAGTGATCATTATTTTCAATCTAATAAATAAACATCAAAGATTGATTTAAATTTTTATTTATAAATCAGGTATGATTTTTAAAATAAAAATCAATATAATAATTATTACACGATTTCGAGAAAAAAATACTAATCGATTTCAAACTCTGATTTAAAGCTTCTATTTATACGATGATCATTCGAAAATTTAAATCTGGACAGTTCTGAAGAGCACCAACTTTTCAAATGAGGAAAAAAATATGTGAAAAGAAATTAAATATTTATAATTTAAGGTGCTCAAAGATTTTTTAAATTTAATTAACCTTGAAACATAGATTAAATAAAATTATTCTTTTTTCCAAGCATGTATTATGAAATATCATTAAGGAGATGATTAAGGAACCATTTAAACGTGATGGGCGGCTACTAACACAAGGAAGACCAATAAAGGAGTACGATGACCGAGATGAGGAAGTATCTGCGTATGAAATCGAAATGAACATTTCGCTTTGGAAATCGGACACGCTGCCTCCCTTTCTTCCAGTAATCAACTGTCAACTTCTCATAGCCCTCGTCATCCCTTCATCGGCAGCTTCGGCACGTTCCAGCTCCTTCAGTCGTCTGGAAGTCATCTGATGAAAAATGCAAAAATCTCTAAAAAAACAAAACAAAGTTTCCGCTACTGAAAAAAAAGAAGATTAAAAAATAATAAACTTAATATTAAAGAATATATTCAGTTCCAGTGTACCAAAGAATATTGTAGTGTAAAATTGTGATATTTAGAATGAAAATAGAAAATATTGTCAATTTATATATATATATATATATATATATATATATATATATATATATATATATATATATATATATATATATATATATATATATATATATATATATATATATATATATATATATTGCAAAGTCCAAGACCGATTTTGCGCAACACTACTTACGAGACACCCTATATATATATATATATATATATATATATATATATATATATATATATATATATATATATATATATATAGGGGGAAATAAAAATATATAGAAAAAGAGGGAAATAATATATATATATATATATATATATATATATATATATTATTTCCCTCTTTTTCTATATATTTTTATTTCCCCCTATATATATATATATATATATATATATATATATATATATATATATATATATATATATATATATATATATATATATATATATAGGGTGTCTCGTAAGTAGTGTTGCGCAAAATCGGTCTTGGACTTTGCAAGGCCAAGACTAGGACTAGTAATAAATTCGAATTTTTTAAATAAAAATTAAGACAAAAAAGTTACTCATACTTGACAACCTTAGTTACTATATGCTAATAATTGGTATAACCAATATAATTTTGTATTTAAAACCTCTACTTTTTCATTCTGGCTTAGATAGGTTTCTCCTATGTAAAAAATTACAATAATCTCAATATATTACAATCTCTATAGTCATAAGCTACTCAGTAACTGCAATAGTGATGCGAGATTCTTGCGCATGACCAAGACTGAGTTTGCAAGACCAAGACTTGTCTCGGTCTCACATTTGTGCAACACTATCCGGAAGTAGAGGACAATTTGTAAGAGGTCGATAGTAGACATCAAGAGCTACAAAAAAGTACGAGTAAACCATTGCCCAATCCCCCGCAAATTTAAGATATGTGTTTTTTTGGTGTAGTCAGGTTTCTTTTGTTGAATAGGAGGCGATATCCAAAAAAATATTATATTTAAGTAATTACCTATTGCGGGAAAATAAACAATACAAAATTTACTTTAATCAAAAATAGTATTTGCCATTGTTAAACAAATATTAATGTGGACTTTTGAGTTGTCTAACTAAGCTAAGCAATATTTTTAAAAAAATCATAAATTATACGAGATTTTGTTTAATCATTCTCCAACTATACTACAGACATCGTACTTTTACAAAAACTTCCTCGTTTAATAAGCTTCAAATCCACATAAAATTAAGTTGGGGTTTATTAGGGAAAACTGACAAAGAGGGGGTTTCATCTCAGGCTGATTAAAGAGATGATGTGATGTCATCTAAAAATACTCGTGATTTCGGCAATGACTACAACTAACTACCGCAAAGCTTTTATTTCTTGTTTTTCCATGATCAGAGATGTATTGTAATAAATATATTTATAAGTGACAAACTTAATGTTTTTATCCTAAAATTTACATTTAAAATAGAGAAACCTGTTGACTGCTTCAATTATTTTCATGAAAATGTAAGTTTTCACTTCTAAACACGGATCCATTCCTATGACAGAAATTTGGTAGAAAAACACAGTTTATATTTCCACTTCACAGTAAAAAATTTGAAAAACATTTTTCTTAATTTTTTTATTTTTATAAATAAAAATTATTTAGGCAAATATGTTTATTACAATACAACCCTGATCATAGAAAAACAAGAAATAAAATGTTTGCAACAATTAATAGTAGTACTCGAAATCTTTTTTTTTTAAATCTATTTATTGAATAATAATACAATCAGCCACTGCTGGAGGGCTATAAGTATTAGGGCTAAGAGTTCTCATTCATACAATATATACACATAATATAGAAATAAATATAAATATAAAAAGTAAATAAATAATACTGATGAATAAAGTAAACAAAAGAAAAAAAAAAGTAAACAAATAACATAAAATAGAAACTTCTAAACACAATCATACCTATATACAATATATACATTCGCCCAGGAATCTCCATTTTTCCTCCCACATGTGGAAGGCAAAGCAAGACTCCTGGAGATCTTAGTGCCACTTTTCCAGCCGCATCACTAGTATTAATAGTCGAAATCAGGAGTATTTCTAGGTGACGTTACATAATTTTTATACCCAACTTGGGGTGAATCTCAAGTTTTTCCCTGGGATACATTTTTTTTTTTTTTCTGTTGGCTCTACAGCCTTGTAGATCTTTGGCCGCCTGAACCAACCTTCTCCACCTCTGCCTATTTTGGGCTAGTGCTTTCCAGTTTGCGGCAAGAAGCTCAGCCGTATCTTTGTTTATCGTATCTATCCATCTCGTTTTTGGCATCCCACGTGGTCTCTTGCCTACTACTCTGGCATTCATTGTAGTGTACAGGCGTCCTGATGGATTGCTACGGGCTACATGCCCCGCCTATCTTAACCCCTTTGCCTTCATGTCATGAGATATTAACTGGCCCGTTTCTTTCAGCAGTTGTTTATTGTTCCTTCTCCTCCATGCGTCCAGGTTCTGGTCCCAAGAACTTTTCTTTCGAATCTCTCAATTCTGGCTTCTAGTGTGCCGGTTAGAGCCCAGGTTTCACAACCGTACAGCAGAACTGGCTTAATCACGGCTGTGTAAATCCTTTCGTTTTAGGTTTCTGGATATTTTTCTGGATTTTAGTGCCCTTGAAAGAGAAAAGATTGATCTGTTCGCACTTGTTATTTCTTGGCTTTTCTTTTTTTCTGAATCTCTATTACTTACTTAGCTGTTTGTTTTAGCCCTGACCCTGACTTAGAAACGATGCATAGATTGATGCATCGCGATGGTTAGAAATTTATCCACACAGAGAAGATGGACATAAAATTCTCATTTTCGGATAAATCACCTAAATATTCGTTTTGTTTTCCTCATCTTTGATACTTCCTTTGCTAACAATTGTCTAGACATTATAAAAATATGTGTTGATACTTGTGTATAAAGATATATTTTGACATAGAACATATGCATAAATAACAACGCCATGAGAGGATTCCTATCCTGTAAAGGCAAAAGTATTTGTCAAGGACAACAAAATAAATTAAAACTATTAACTGGCTACATCTCCTGCAGTCATCTTGTTGATGTATACAAAGCTTTAAAAAAAAGTTGTAAACTGTGAGGTCAACAATATCACGACTTCTCTATTCTTGACGTAGGACAGCAGTAATCTTGGCGAGTAACCTCTAGTGATGATGGCTGGAGAATTGACTCATCCACCATAGTACTGACTCATCCTTCTCCATAGAGGGGCCAGGAGGAAGAGCCAAAGGACGATAAACCTGTCGACCTTGTGGGTCAGCGATCCCTCCTCGTCAGTCATTAAGGGATTTTCCGCTTTTCTTCATCGCTTTTCATATCAATGGCCGTGCCCCTTTCTGCTTCGTGGAAAAAATTATAATTGCCCCTCGTGACAAATACCTTAGTTAGCGGCATGATGAAAGAGATTGAATCGAATTTTCATGGGACCCACGAGCCTTTTCGAAGGTCACAATGAAAATTACCCTCCGTTGAGAAAGAACTAGAATAGTTCAGAAAGGAGCAAGCTTTCATGCTTTTATAAAATGAATTTTCGTAACGTACCTCGGTAGATCGTCTCGGTAGTGTAGTTGTTACTCGACTTATTATCATCGAGATCAAGCACGAATTCCCAAAAAAGAATTGTTTCTTACCCTACTGTAGCTCATATTGTTTCGTGAGATTCCATGAGTATTTTGAGCTAAAAACGCAAACAGGTGATTGAATAAACTATGAACAAACTAAATCAGTATGCTAAAAGATGTTTAACGATTTTTTGGGTAAACGGCTAGAGATTTTTTAAGTTCCTTGGCTTAAATTATTCGGCAAGATCCCGTTAATGTTTCGAAATAATTGTAGTTATAAATACTGAAACGTTATAGAATGAAATGTATTTAATCGATTCACAGAAAGATTTAAACGCTTTTTTGAGCAAACAGCAAGATCGATTACTTTTTTTTTATTTTTTGTATTGAGTATTAATACAGTCTGGCACACTGAAGGGTATCGGTATTAGGGTTATAGCATTCATCACACAATATGTACATAGAAAACATAAATAAATGTAAATAACCTAACTAAGAAATATATATATATATATATATATATATATATATATATATATATATACATTCTTCCATCGCGATGCATGCATCAATCTATGCATCGTTTTTAAATCAGGGTCAGGGCTAAAAAGAGGTCATTAATGACTTATAAATAAAAACATTAAAATCATTCCGTCAAATTAAAATGTGGAGCTTAGTTTAACTCTTAACTCTTATATTTAGCAAATGTGTGTATTTTTTAACGCATTAACTAATTATCGAAAAATGTCAGAATTGGTAAAAACTGAACAATTCTGATCAAATTAGGTTGATTTTGTAAATATTTGGTTTTGTTAAAGTTTAACTCCTGCTATTTTTTTTTTTAATATTCCATTTAATTTTTAAAGATCGAATCTAAGTTTTTTTAATCAAATGTATTGATTGGTCTGTGTTCAAGGTAATATTAAAGTAAAGTATAGAACGAAAAAACAAAAAATAATTAACAGTATTTAAAAAAATTTTGTAATAAAGAGAACGACAAGGATCTATATTATTATCTATATTAATAGCAAACAGCTATAACTAAGCTATTAGTAATAATATTTCAAAACATTAATCACTGGAATAAACGGTATACAAAAAATCGTAGGGATATTCCAACCGCTAATTATTTGTTTAATTTATGTATTTATTCCTTTAAAATAAAATGTATGTGCATCTAACCTCATATAATTGCATATTAAATGTTTTGGAGGAGATTGCAAATAATTAAATCCTAAAAGTTGATTAAATTGACGAAGTGGTATGGAAATGTAAAACACATGAATAATAAATAAATACATAATAAAAATACTACTTTTGATACTTCTTGAATAATAAACAATAATGGTGATTATTTTTAGTACGACAAAGATGGAAAATTGCAATATTCCAACGTGTTAATATTTATACTTATCGAAGTTTTTTCAAGAAACCTCACAACCTTAATTACGTGTGCGTGTGTGTCTGTGTATGTATGCGCGTAGTCAAGGCTGTAAGGTTATATATATATATATATATATATATATATATATATATATATATATATATATATATATATATATATAATGTCATGATAATGCTAATGAAAATCATTGTTTTGTCTTGAATGGAACAGCAGAAATTGTATTCTATTCATTCATACCTCTGGTATGGTATTGTTTTCTTGGTAAAACCAATTTGATATTATAATTATCAATATTAAAAAGTCACACAAACGATTTCGTCGATAAATGGCATTGGAACGTAATGCGTTTCCTCTGCCAGAAAAGTAAATGATGGACTTCTATTCCTGGTCACGGAAGACCAAGGTAACGTGATGGCCATTGGCGTCATCCTCTGAGATGATGTTGCACGACGTGATAGTTGTATCAATGAGGAAATGTTTTAATCAGACCTTAATGGCCCATCTATGCCACTGTATAATTACAAAAAAAGTTTTATTAAGATAAATTAAACTTAAATTTCAAAAAATAATCCCTTTTTTTCACTCATGCGTAAGTAAAATATTTTAATTTATAATATCCTAATATAGTCTATAAAAATATATATACTTACGTTTTCAAAAAGAAGCTTTGAGCGAAAAACTGAAGAAATGACAATGAAGTAGTTGTAAGAAAGATTTATTTTAAAAAATTATAAACTTAGATTAAACTCACTTAAACATCACTGGCTTTTAGGTGGCACAAGAGTTCGCTTGGATAGATCCAACTGTGGATGGGTTTGGATGGGTCAGTGTAGATAAGTACCAATGTCTTTATTTCATTTTTTTTCTGCTCGGATTTAATATTTTGTTTACCTCGATAAGTCACTAATTTTTCTGTTACTTAATTGGTTTACTTTTGTTATTAATTTGTTATATTTTAATTACTTTTTCCTGGGTAAATATTTATATTTAGCAATATTGCCCATCGTCTTCAGGTGATATATATATATATATATATATATATATATATATATGTGTGTGTAATAAAGCTTCAGGTTCTAACGAATCCCCACCTTTGGGTTGACTATTTAATTCATGCATTTAACACATGATGTTAAATGGGGATAACCGCACCACACGGTTTGCAATTGTTTCAGATTATTAAGTGTTCAATGTCGTGTTTCATTGTACATCACAACTATAAAAACAGATTTTGTTTTGTAGGGAGCTATAGTTTTAAGATTTAATGTATTATTTAATTTGAAATTGTACTTAATAAAGATCTTGTTTTGTAGAAGGAAAAGCAGTCTATAGATTATCTACAGTTAACACTAGACGAGATTATATACACAGTGTCTCGTAAGTAGATGGAAATTTGTAAGAGGTTAAAATTAGACATTATGAGCTACAAAAAAGTTCATGTAAACAATTGTCCAATCTCCACCAAAAAAGTAGGGAAATCAAGTTTTTAATTTTTTTAAGTGTCTTGATTTTTGTTGAATAGAAAGCGATAACTATAAAAAAAAAGATAATTTAAGTAATTAACTGTATTTCAAAATTGAAACTAGACAAAATTTACTCCAAACGAAAATAGAGTTTGTCATTGTTAGATCCATCTCAGAATCACCTCAAATTGTGTTAAAAATTAGATGTTTTAATCTTCTGTTGCCTAAAAGTACTCGCGGTTTTACCAGGCTACAATAAATTATTACATAACATTAATTTATTTATTTGCTATTCCATGGGACGTATTATGATAAACATAATCGCATAAATACATATTTTATTTACAAAAAATAAAATGTTAAAAATATGAGTTAGTCATAGCAAATTCCCAAGGCTTATTGCTCATACAAGCCTTCATTTTTCATGTTCGTGTTATTTATTTAATTATTACCGAAGAAATTTGGTTTAAACTTGATACTTGAACCTTAAATAAAAATAAAAATATGTCTCCAGGTGTTTTAATGAAATGGTAATTGTAATGCAATGTTAGATTTCAGGGCCTGATTAAAATTAAAAAACGTTTAGAATTACATAAAAACATTTTGTGGAAGAATATATTTAAAAATCATGATGATGAAATCAAGTAAAATTATTTTATATATCTAATAAAATATTTTGTCATTTCTGTTTGTAAGCTGATGAACAAATAAAAATAACAACAATACATAAGTATTTAATTTCCGTGCCCGTCCAAGCAATCATATTCTGGGATTTTAATATATACTCTGCCTATCTTTCAGATCATTTCTTTTGAACACTTTTATCTATTTATCTATGAG